TTCTGAAAGATCAAGTTCTTGCCACAGGGACATTGCCATGGCACAATGGGCGATTCATGTGAATTGCTCGCTGCGGTACAACTTACAGGCCCTGTACGGCGAAACCCATGACTGCTGCGAAGGCACTATCTTCGTGTCTGCAAGGGAAGGCGCACGTGGCAGCGATGCGTTGCCTTTCGTCGTCTGTCGCACAATGGGGGCGAGGCCCTGTGCGCCATACATCGGGGAAGCTGATTCCACGTATGGCGCAGGGGCCCTAATGTGCACAGCAAGCACTCCAGAGCTGATTTCCTGGAGCTTGCCACGCTCCTTGCTGCTGTATCAAGTACCGACCCCTTTGCTGAAACTCCTGGCGGATGTTTTGGCCCACATGGAGGCGCACCTACGCCCATGCAAGCTACTCGCCAAGGTGCGTGTGGCAGTTGCTCAAGTCAGCTCCTTGCTGGCGCAGTATCGCAGACCCGGGACATTGCAGCGACGCCTCGACTTCGTGCCGTGCTCACGCCTGCGCGAGCCGGATCAGACGATCGAGGACTTCGCCGAAGCAGTGATGGGTGCAGATGTTCAACAATGGCTGCAACTCCCTCAGCTCCCTCCAGTACAGCTGCGGCTTCCGGAACTGCGTGCTTTGCCGTTGCATGCCAGCACCAATCTGTCTTCTGTGGGAACTGATTTTGAAGCCTTTGGTAGTAGGGTACTGGTGTAGTTTATGTTCTGGGGCGACTCTCGTAAAGTGATTTTTCTGTTCTGGGGAAATGTTTTCGAGAAAGCATGCGCGTCCAACAACCGCAGAAAACCACGTGGTTCACAACCTTCCTGGCAAACCGGGCGGTCGCGACGCAGGGGCCCTTTTTGGCCCTGGCGACTTAGTTTCCATGGCGCGAAACCTGCATATTTGGTCATACTTTCTTCAAACAACAGCTCGAGGCGCTAGTCTTTTGCTTTTGTTTATGCCAGAAGCACGCGAAGGCCGTGCCAAAGTCACGGGCAGGTTCGAGCGGTTGGAGCCCCCGTCTCTTTATAAACTATAACTACTTTAACTATAAAGTAAGAGTGGGACCAGGAGCACGCTGTGATCACACCAAATTCAAGCTATTTCGTGTCCGGGCTAAAAAAGAACAGCCCAGCACAGTCATAAACATAAACCCCTCCCAGACAACGCTTCAAAACTCAGTTCTGTGCTTGGCTCCTTCTAGTAAAAGGAGGCGGTTGCGACAACAATGAAATCCGCAGGTGCAGTAAACAAAGGAGTTGACTCGGAGGGTTTACGACTTGTTGTTCGGATCACTGTTACCATCTGTTTAGTTATTGTATATTAAATACTGCTCGTTGTTTGTTCATGCCTGCTTCATTTGGCTTTTGTTGCTTTACTTTTCAGGTTGCCGGAAAGCCTCTGCATCATCGCCCGCTGTCTGCGTGATGTGATGGCGGCAGATCTAAAGATCGCGCCGGTCACATGCGTGCAGAAAGTAGTCCTGCACACAGACAAGATCGTCTTTGCCTTGGAGGCGTGCGACGTTGTGTTTGCAATCGATCCAACATGTAGCTGGTTCCACTTCCCAACACTTCCCCAAACGCCTATCCAGGTATCCAGGAATAAACACCACACGCTCGACCCCTGACCCTCTACCTGGAATTCTCCGATCTCTTGCTGTAGACAGGCAAGGGAGGATCTGCCGGCATCACATTTCAAGCATTACGTCGTCTGGGCGGCGCCACTGCAGGACCTTTGCGACTGTCACGAAGATGACGATCGATGGAGCCTTGGACGGCTGCACGTCGTACAATCATCTTCTGTGGACAATGCGAAGTTCAAGCTCGATCCTCCACTGTCGACGAAAGAACCTGCAGGAGAGCACTGGCTGCTGGTTTTCGTCGCTGGCATTCAGGACCACCTCTGGGCCGCCCGCCTGCAGCGCTTTCCCGGTCCACATGCTTGAATCCACGAACTTGCAGATTCCAGCATTAATGACTGCTTCGTTCCCTCGTCCTGAACAGTCCGTGTTTGCAGATGATGCCTACACGCCGACAGAGTGATCAGTAATTGCCGATTGCAAAGCCTGCCGTCTTGTTTGAGTGCTATAGGACCCATCTAGAACTCTACCCCATGACACTGCTACGAGGCTCGACGCATGCTCAAGCGCATCGTTGTCTCGAGCGAGGCACCTGTGATGGCAGCCCTGTTGTCGGCTCAGCCAGCGACGGCTGAACCGACTATGACACAGCGCGCGGCTGGCAACATCAGTGCTACCAGCATGGAGGACCTGGAGATCATCCGCATGTTGCGGGCATCTGGGCATAACCCCATTGTGAACTTGCGAAGCGGCCCTGGCTGCGGCAAGTCCTTCTGGGCATTGCAGCTGCTCAAGGAGCTGCACCTCGCCGGATTAGCCACATGCAAATTCGGGACTACGGTAGTAATCTGGATGGACAAGCTGCATGCTGTTCGCTTTTTGGGATCTTCCACTCCTGTTGACGTCTCGAAACACTCTATAAGACAACTTTTGCTGTTCGCGGGATGTTCTTGCGCAACACACAGGTGCCGACTGTCGGACCATCATGTGCATGTGGTCCTCGCGCCAACACGCCGGCTTCGCGACGAGTTCATGCACAAAGCGCTGCAGGCGGGCTTCGACTTGGCACAGATTTGGCCTGTGGGAAAGGATGAAACAGGTGAGGACCATTGGATCCAGCACCAATTCCGCATCATTGAACGTGACGCTGCTGCACAGCTCCAACAGTTGCGGGCGTTGGAGCACGCCCTGGAACTCATGACCTGGGATAGTCCTGTAGGCCAGGTGAGGGACCTCCTCCAGCAACACCATGCCATTGTGTTTGCCATCTACAGACAACGCGCAGATGCAAGCCTCGAGCGACTGCAGGCAGGTGGTGTTTCTCAGGAGATTCTTCTGTTCTACTTACCTACCTACCTCCCGGCAACCAACTCTGCTCCTGCACTCGCTTGCGCCCTGCAGGCACCCCCCTATAACAACCATTGTGTTGTGAGTGCTCCACATCCTGCCCGATTCCAGGTCGAAGGCCGGGTGCTCTTCGCAACATATTCCTGGTGGCTCAAGTTCACTTCGGGAGAAAGCCGCACGTTCCCATTGCTTTCTGCGCGAGCTATCGGCGTGGTGTTCGCAGATGAGATCGACGAGGAGAATAGAGGGTTGCTTCACTCGGAGAGCCCGGACAAGCATAATCAATAATTCCTACGAGTGCAAGCCGGGGGCTTCATGAGCGCCCTGCTCTTCCTGAATTGAATGCCCTTGGAGCTGTAACCGCAGGCTGGCCTACCAGCATTGCTGGCTGCAAGCACTGGTGCAGCCGCTCGGTCCTGGTATAGCTTCTGTTGCTGGATGCCGCAGCTGCTTCCTTCTATTCTCGAATCCGCTTGTGGGAGCTACCTTCAACATGGAACTGCAGATTAGCAGCCAAGGTCTACGCCCCCAGTAGGTTTATCCTCTACAACCCGTCTCATTCCATCCCTTGAAGATTTGGAGCATACGAGAGGGTCCGCTTCTGTTCGGGTTTGTTGTAAGTCCTCTTTCAGCGCCAAGGAACTCGTCACCGCATGCGATCCAGGCCAAAGACTCTTCCCTGTGACGGGTTCACATCAGTCGGGATCCTGGCGCAGTGACGCCGCGCCAGCCAACACCAGCCAAGCGGCTCTTGATGCTTTGGCCACGGGCCACGACGTCCGTTTGACTACCACGCGTCGTTTCGGGCAAAGCATCGTCGCCTTGCTGCAAACCGTGCTTCCCGAACATTATGGCGGGCTTTCGGCGCACAACAGCTCGCCGAACACGGCGCTGGAGGTGCAGATCCTGGCATGCAACGACTGGACGGATGTTGCGCACAGCCGCGAGGGCCGCAATTCCGCCGGCGTGGGCTCCATGACTAATCTTTAGCACGCCCTTACACAACTTGCAGCTTAGCGGTTTAGCCACTCAGCATGACACTTGAAACATTGGAATGACATCTCTTAGGCGCGGTCATGAGCAAGACCACGTACCTGCTGTTGCTGCAGCACGCGCAGCGCCTGGTTCGACAACACGGATCTGCCACCATCTATGTGGCGTACGCTGCATTGAGGGATCTCCTCGCACAGTGGCTCTCCGTGGCTGCGCCAGGCTTGCAAGTCAGCGTACANNAGACAAAGGCAGCGAATGCCAGGCTGGCATATGCCTCTTCCTGCGCAGGCGGAGCTCTGAACGTGCTTTTGCCGGCGCCCTGCTCGACAGCGGGAAATTTGCCGTCGGTGTTAGCCGCTGCAAGGAGAGCCTGGTGCTGCTGGTGGACCATGCAGCCAATATTAACCATGGCCATTGGCAGCGTTTCTGGCGGAGCCCTTCGCTGTCTTACCAGGTTATCTACTCCTCGGATGTCACTGCCGGCCCGGCCTGCCAATCTGCGTGGGAATCCTTCACTGCCCTAGCCAATGCCACCAACGGCCAGCTCGCCGACATGACCCATGCGGAAGGAGATATGGCCACGGGACCATGCATCGACGATGCCCTGCGCGGCCTCACCATGGAGGAACTTTCGTCCCCCGTTGCCGACACGGCGCAGGTACCGTGCAAGTTGTTTACAAGTATTGGTCTCGGCGAAACCACTTTGGAGAGCTACCACACGCACTGGCAACATTAAAGGTATAATTCTGAACCAAGCTCAAAACACCCCTCAACCTGTTAAGCGGAACTACAGCCCAATCGCTTGCGAATCAAATTTATCATGGTTGCACCCTCGAACTGCGATCGAAGGAAAAGCAACTTGTAACGACCTTAGGACTTTTATTCTAATTGCAAAGGTTCACCGGCGACGGGCGATGCCGCCCACGTTGCAACAACAGCCAACGCCTTTCAGCCAGTGGATGCCCTGGCGCGTTGCTGCAACCGGTATCACAGGTTCTGAGGACAGCTACGTCGTCAACATCCCGTTTCTTGTCTGGCGTTCACGTGCGCAGCCGGATTGGGACACCCTTCCACTGTCCGCGGCCAAGCACCTACTCGCCAGAGCCGATTTCGGAAGTCGGCCAGTTGCCTGTCGCGCCGTGAGACACAAGGCATGCTTACAGGTTTTGCG